TTTACCACCAGAAAAAGCACAACTGGATGCACAAAATTTAGCACCAGGTTTGACGAAATTTAGCACCAGATTTGACGAAATTTAGCACCAGATTTCACGAAATTTAGCACCAGCTTTGACAAAATTTAGCACCAGATTTGACGAAATTTAGCACCAGAAAAAGCACAACTGGGAGCACAAAAAATAGCACCAGATTTGACGAAATCTAGCACAAGAAAAAACACAAGGGAAAGGCTTGAAACGCAAGCGTTGCCAGGACCCAGCCGCCAGAGCCGTGCCCCGGTTCGGCGCCCCGGTCCCCAGGGCCCAGCCCCACGAAAGCCGTTACAGGGAAGGCCGAGCCCCGGTTCCGCGCGCCGGCTCGCAGGGTCCAGCCCCATGAAAGCAGTTAAAGGAAAAGCGGCCCGCCCAATTCCAGAGGACCCAGCCTCACGAAAGCATTTGAAGGAAGAACCCAGCCCCAATTCTCACAGGGCCCCCACGAAAACATTTAAAAGGAAAAAATGAGCCCACAGGACCAGCCCCACGAAAGCATTTAAAGGCAAACCGGCGTCCCAATTCCCACAGGACCCGGCTCACGAAAGCGCTCGCAGGAAAAGCAGCGCCCCCGTTTCCAATGGCCAGCCCCACAAAAGCATTTGAAAAGGAAAAGCTGTCGGCTTGCCCACAGGACCCAGCCCCACGAAAGCATTTAAAGGCAAAGCGGCGCCCCCGTCCCCACAGGACCCGGCCCCACGAAAGCATTTGCAGGGAATAGCGCCGCCCGGATGCGCCCCAATTCCCACAGGACCCGGCGCCACGAAAGCATTTACAGGGAATAGCAGCACCCGGTTGCCCGGGCCGCCCCACGAAATCATTTTAAAAGAAAAACCGTCGTATTGCCCACACAACCCAGCCCCACGAAAGCATTTAAAGACAAAGCACGTCCCAATTCCCACAGGACCGAAACAACTACTACTATAGACTAACACCACTTGACCTATTTAATGCTACTTGAGGTATATCTTTTTTCACAACCTACTGATGTGTTGCTTGATGGAAGGGTTTTGTGACTTCCCATGGCTTCACCGGGCAGGAGGGCCCATAGATGAGAGTGAAAAAAGGAGTTCCTGTGGTGAGAGTGCCATCCAATTGGATCTAAAGGTTTTTTAAAGCATTTTTCTGGTGCTAATTTTTGTGCATCCAGTTGTGGTCTCTGTTACAGCGCCGCGGCCATGCACAACCTATAGGCATTCTTGTCCCCTCTCGGCGCTCTTGTCCTTTTGGTGGCAATAAGAATCCACCCACGGTTTCTAGGAGTCTCGATAGTGATAAACATCATTTGTTTATCAGGAAATCACTTGATGCTTCACTTGCATGTGTTTCTATGCTTTGATTTATCTTAAGCAACGTTTTGCATAGGCGTTCTTACTCGTTAGCTGGGCATTATTGCCTTATTGCCTTTTACTTAGGGGTTCGTACCCGTTCCTCACTACAATCAGGTGGCACGCATTTTTTTTAAATCAACAGCTGGTTCATTCAAATTATGGTTCTGCCTCTCGCATCTAAGAATGCATGTAATATGCATGTAACATCATGGCATTTGTTTCTCGGTGTTTTAACGTCTCGGCGTTTCAACCCTCAAGGCTGCAGCTTGGGCGGTCATTGTAAAAACGGGCGGAATGTTCTGCCTTAAACAGGTTACGGTTAGAGGTAGAAATTATTGCCAGGTATTGTCTTAACACTCAGTCTATATTTTCCAGGCTTTCCTGAACTGAGGTGGCTTGGGTAGAACGCATTTGCTTATATATAAACTTTTGGTGTTTTCTTGCTTCTAAGCTTTCGTGGGTTGGACGACCTTTGTTCAATCGACTTGATACATCTTCTGTTTTGTTCCTATATGCCTATGGAGTTTCTCGAGTGTTGGGCCTTGCTACACAGAATTTCAGTATAGAATCATTATAGTAATTATAGTGCACGGGCCTCAAAGAAACGGTGAAATAATCTATTTGGGGAGACCCAAGACGGGAAGGATTCTTTGGCACCCAAGCTTCTTCACCACGAAGCATTGCTGAACCGGGTCCCCTCATTCGGGGAAAGGGAATAAACATTTATCATGATCCACTGGAGGTGATCAGGTAGATCAGGTGCAGGCGTTGATCTTGGTGTGTGGGTTCCCCGAACATCCAGACCTCCCATGAGTTCTGGGCTTGACAATTCCCATATGTTCCAAAGACTAAGATTACAAGCCTAAAACTCCCCATATTTCCTTATATACAGTGGCCACCTGAGATCCTTTGGGTTTGATATGAGCCCGGTGGCCAGGTTGAATCTTAATTAAGAACCTATCCGGTATAGATACAACCATCCAAGGTAGCACATAGAATATGAAATATTCCGAAGACATGACCAGTGTTCATTTTTTTGGATATTCCCATGTATTCAATCTATATGCTCCTGAAATCGCCAGAATGACTAGATAGAGGTTTTGGTTTCGATCCAGGACATCTTTTGGTACATGAGGACATCCTCAGGATCCATCCATCCGGTGCTTGCGAATTCATTCGAGCTCCCGACCCTGCATTTCTTGTATTCCGCGCAAAAAGTCTCCAATCCTTGGATTTGACATGAACAAAATAAGGCCCACAGAATGGAATTGTCCATAGTTCCTGAGGAAAATGCAAGTTTCCTCTGGAGTTCAGCTGGACCCTGAAGAAGGTAGATCATGTGACTTACGTCTTGGCCAGCTGTGGCTGTACCAGAAGGATGTTGTTTTGGTTGGTTGGATGCAGTGTTTTTGAGACGTGTAGGAAGACTAAGGGGTAGCAATCTTTACGATCTTTATTGGTGTCCTAACCATGCCACCCTTTCTATCCCCAGGACAATCAGTTTCAGGGCCACAAAATAAAGAAACATACAAGAGACAACAATAAACATGGAACATTTCAAGGTCGAGGGCTCTGGGTTCTGGAAGTTCAGTGGATTAATCATCCCCCAAATTCATCGGCTGTTCGCTGCAGAGGGTGTGCTGTTTTTTCCCGCGTTCCGCCCGGAGCCGGGCGCGCAGGAGGACCTGACCGTGGTGGATCTCACCGAGAGCCAAAACGTGAAGATTGCTCCTTGGACCTGACCGGACATCGGACGACGGCCGTCGCTTGAAACAGTTTGGCTCCCTGAGAATCCGGGAGCCCAATGGGGCGATGGGGCGTCAATTTGATCGAACTGAGAGGTATAGAACTTCTATCCTCCCTCTTTTGGGAGTGTTCGAAGTGCCACGGGCGGCTGGCGCCAGTGCTGGCGCCCGTTGGCGCCCTGTCGGCGCCCTGCCCAGGGCGCCGCCGAGAGCATCAACATCACCCCGCACCGGCAGCAAGATCAGGCGGGTTCCGGTCAGATAAAGCGAGTGGGTTGCGGGTCTTTTCAAACGAGGAGAAGTGGTGCAGGTTCTTGCAACTGGAGGGGGCGGGCTCCAAACAAGATGAACACATGCAAGCAGATACTCCTTGTATGTGTGCCTTCAGCTGGAGGTCCAAGGTGGTTGCCAGAGATTGGTTGCGCCAAGAGCTCTGAGGAGGGGAACTGGATTTGATAGTCAGGCGTCGGTGGTTTGCCCTAAGAATTCGTGTTCAGCGGCGAGTGTTCTGAGGAGATTGCTGTAAAAGCATGTTGGACAACATGGGACATGGGTTACAAAACAAATTCTACCATTTACCCTGTACCGATCCCGACCACCGGACCTTGAGAGGGCAGAAGAAGGAAGGGCATGTGCACGACACCTCTGACCGCATGAAACACCCTGACCGCATTTGGACTGTTTTTTCTTTTTGTTTCACGTGCGTCCTGACATATGTTGTGACATGTGTTTTGGCATGCGTTCTGACACAAAATCACACACTTGTTTCGGCATCCACAGACATGACAGATTCGGCATCAAGTTTGGCATGCCATTTTGACTCGTTCTCGCCTATCACACAGTACATCATTCCATCATTTGTTCATCTCGGTAAATGCACCATATACCTAGAACCTGAATGACCCCTATTTTGGACCACAAACCACTCAAAAGATGGTCTTTTCCTATCAAAACAGAGGTCAAATGGGTTCTAGGTAGAACTTCTATCCTCCCTCTTTTGGGAGTGTTCGAAGTGCCACGGGCGGCTGGCGCCAGTGCTGGCGCCCGTTGGCGCCCTGTCGGCGCCCTGCCCAGGGCGCCGCCGAGAGCATCAACAGCACCCCGCACCGGCAGCAGGATCAGGCGGGTTGCGGGTCTTTTCAAACGAGGAGAAGTGGTGCAGGTTCTTGCAACTAGAGGGGGCGGGCTCCAAACAAGATGAACACATGCAAGCAGATACTCCTTGTATGTGTGCCTTCAGCTGGAGGTCCAAGGTGGTTGCCAGAGATTGGTTGCGCCAAGAGTTCTGAGGAGGGGAACTGGATTTGATAGTCAGGCGTCGGTGGTTTGCCGTAAGAATTCGTGTTCAGCGGCGAGTGTTCTGAGGAGATTGCTGTAAAAGCATGTTGGACAACATGGGACATGGGTTACAAAACAAATTCTACCATTTGCCCTGTACCGATCCCGACCACCGGACCTTGAGAGGGCAGAAGAAGGAAGGGCATGTGCACGACACCTCTGACCGCATGAAACACCCTGACCGCATTTGGACTGTTTTTTCTTTTTGTTTCACGTGCGTCCTGACATATGTTGTGACATGTGTTTTGGCATGCGTTCTGACACAAAATCACACACTTGTTTCGGCATCCACAGACATGACAGATTCGGCATCAAGTTTGGCATGCCATTTTGACTCGTTCTCGCCTATCACACAGTACATCATTCCATCATTTGTTCATCTCGGTAAATGCACCATATAAAAATATATTATATATATCTATCCCAGACACTCCATGTATGCCATGTATGCCTACATTGACCCCCCTGGCACCACCCCAACATAGGTATATATGGCAGTCCCATGGAGCGTCTGGGTATATTTATATAATATACTTACTGGGGCATCCTGCGGGAAGATGTTGCGCGCGGTCCGGACCTCTCGCAGACAGGTCTTCACCGTTCGTCGTGATTCGCGAGGATTCGCGAGGATTCGGACGAAGGAGAGCCCAGATACTCCATGCGACTGCCATATATATACCTACATTGGGGTGGTTTGGGGGGTCAATGTAGGCATATACATGGAGTGTCTGAGGAATATAGAAGAACACGCTTCTCAGAATCAGAACCCGGAACCCCAAATCGTGGAGATTGGACAAACGCTTCACATCCGCGGGAGGTGTTTCAGTCCGTGAAAACGCATCGACCTGGATGCTGTTCCTCACCTGGGTTGTCGGGTCGTAGCTGGTGATGTCCTTGGTTCGACCCTCAATGGCTCGGTTGATGGTGACGTCCTTGGGTATCTTGGGTGGAGCCCCTTTTAGATGGCACGAGACGAGCTTTTGGGAAAAGAGCGGGCAAGTCAAGTGATGGCTCACCCATGCGGCGCAGTCGTGTTGGGGAAAAGCAGGCATTGGTCAAAAGCTAAGATCAGTTGCTACTGAACACCACTCAAAAACCAAGAAGCTTTTGTTTTTGTTTATGCTTTGAATGCTTTGGTACGAGACTGCAGTTCATGAAATAGTTCAATGGGACAACACAGGAGGCCCCGACCGGCCAGACTCGGAAATTTGAAGTGTTGCACCCGCCCCAAGCGGCCAGTTCTCTATACCCTAGGGATCCGCCACCTTTTAGGTACGACTGGGCCAGACCCAGGCGGCTACATAAATCGTCTCCCTCATATCACCTTCTGAGAAGGTACGATTGGATCCCTATAGGGATATAGGCATAGGCAAAACAACTTATGCCCAGACCAGCCTCAAACATTTGTGCTGCAACCAGTGCCAAGAGAGGTTAAGTGCCCTTATAGGACCCCACTGGGGTACCGAGCTGGTATGGTCATGTATAGTCTAGTTCGGGTCCTTCAACCTTTGTTGGTAGCTCGAGTGGAAGCAACACTGCCAGGCAGTCGTGGAAGTTTCAAAACAAATCAAGCCGGTCTCATGGATTTTGGGCAGGGTATCAAAACGGTGTCGGCAAGAGGTTAGCTTCAATCTAGCCACCAGCATGAACCACTCAAGTAGGAAGTAGGGAGTTTCAGGAATACGAAAAGACCCGAACTTTTGTCACCACTGAGTTCTTGATGAGTCACTCTTTTACTCAACACCTGGATTCTTCAGCCAAAGTGAGGCCTGGGCGGTTTCTTTTCATCAAGAGTCTACTTGACCCTCACCACGCCGGCCTTACCACCCACGCTCCGAGACGATGACCGAACGGGGTTTGCAGAGTGAGTCGACACAGGCGTGGGACGGGTCGGTACTGTGCGACCGCACGGGAAGTGCCGTGGCCACGCAGGTGAAAGTCTCCTTACAGGTCAGTGGGACCTCATGTGACTGGAGCTGGTGATGTAGTGATAAAGGCACTACTCAATGAGGTATAGGTATAGGACCAGGTTTTATTAAGTCTTTGGACTTGCATAGGGTCTGGGCCACAACTTTCCAAAAGAAGAGAGATTCTGCATACCAGGACCTTCCAACTTCAACAGATGGTTTTGATAGACATCCCTTGGAGGGTCCTGGTAGATGGGCTGTAGTATGCTGCAGTTCAATGGGACCACTCACGGGTGTCGCAAACGCAACTACGGCCTACGACCTAGGCTCGGGAACTGATTCAGGTTGTAGCAGGACCAGAAGTCCAGAGACTACACATGTCGTCAGGCAAGTACAAAAAAAGATCAAAAAAGGGCAAATCCTTTTCAGGTCTTCTATAGTTTGACTTGCAGGCGAACTCCAAAAATCAGTGTTGGCTGTAGTATGATTGAGATTTGTAAGTCTTTGGGCAGTTTCACAAATTGAGCTGTTTCGGTGATTTTTGGGGAAGGTATCAACTGCCAGGGCTCCCAAACTTTCCCAACTTCTGACTGTTTTGAGAGTTTTCGGACTTGACCCTCAGCCCGAAAGCTCCGGAGGGTCAGCCACACATGGCTTCAATCTAGCCTTGGACCCTCGGGAGCTATTTCTGACACGTCCGAGCAGGGCTGGCAGCGTGGCGTGTCAGCCTCTTCGGCGCAGGCGTGTTGGGGTGTGTTGGTGCACGTGCGGTTGAGGGAGGGCGGAGCGGTAGGGACTCGTCGCTCTGAGGGTTCACGAGAATTGGTCTGTTGGAGGGGTGCTGGTACGTTGCTTTCAGTATGTTTCAGCGGTCATTGTTCAGTTCTCAGGCAATGGAGACCAGAATAGCCATCTTCCCAGGTCATAGTGTGACATCATCATAGTGGCCCGGAAGAGCATGTGTTGGCCCGATATGGCCCGACTCAGAGCAGGCTGGGTTTCCACGAAGCATTCAAAAACCGACTCCGGGTGTTGGTCTTGGAGCGTCCCTGGAGATGAAGAGCTTCGCATCCTGAAAAACTCCCTAGGGATCCACAAACCTTCTCAGGAGATCCTTGGGCCCTCCAAGCCTACATAAATAGTCTCCAATCACCTTCTTAGAAGGCACTTGGATCCTATGGAATGGGTTTGGTTACCCTTCGGCCATGAGTTTCCCTAGCTCAATCCCGAGGAGGATGCGAGCTCAGGGCGGTAGGGTCCCAAGATGGACACCCGTAGCTCAAAGAATACGCCCTGGAAGGTTAACATGGAGCCTGAAAATGGACCTTTGGAAGAATACTTTCCGCTACAGCTCAGTGGTTTCAAGGTTCCATGTTAATCTTCCAGGGTGTAATTACTGAGGAATGTGAAGAGTTGAATACGAAGGAATTAGATCTTCGAACACTTTCGAGGGACGCTGCATAGGAAGAACATATGGAGCCAGGAGGGGGGCCCGGACGTGGAAGGACACTTGGGTGACCGGAGGAGTGGCCAGATCAGTCGGAGTGGCGGGCAGAATTGGGTGGAAAGGGGGTTATATCATTGTAGAATTCATGTGGTCCCATATGGAGCGTGTTGGGATCTGCCATCGATAAAGGTCTTGAGAATTGGGGTCTTCAACGTCTTCAACTGGACAAAGGTTTGGTTTGGGTCCGATCTGTGAAGAGGCTGGGAGTCGGCCCCACGCAGTCTGCGAGCGTGTCGGGTCCATGGTCCGAATTCATTAGCCATGGAGCTGCTGACCGTAGACGCTGCTTGGTCTGGAGCCACTGGCAACATGAAGTGTTCCCGTGCATGTATCAATTACTCTCATGTCGCCATGGGGTGATGTGGATCCAAACAGATGCACGAGTAGTACCACCTTGCACATGCAGGGTCGCTCGAATGTTGCTGAGTTGGACTGTACGAAGAAATTTGGTTGACATGACTGCTACTGGGAGCGGGTGGTCTCTTTAGGCAACCACTTAGCCACCCTGAAAATCGGACAAAGACACTCTTGAAGTTCACGTTCTGCCAAGTATCGACCAAATTTGATACGACTTGAGGCTGGCAAAGCAGCCCTTTTAATGGTCACCATTTGAGCTATTCGATAAACCTCCGTCTTCATGTTTAATCAGTGTGTTGTCATATCGAAGAAGTGCGTAAGCAAAACCTGCACGCGCGTAAGGTTGCGTAAGCTTTTTGTAAGGAAACCTTTTGCGTAAGCCATGCGTAAGCTTTGAAGAAATACATGATAAATACATGAGCAACCCCTCTCAGAAGTGCTAGGACTAAGGAACAGTCCAACTCCACACATACATACACAATCCAAACTCGAATTGCTGAACACACACAGTCCAAAACACCACAGCTGAACAGTCAAACCTCCATGTCAGACATGAGAAACTCCAGGTGATTTTTGTGAGTTCCGGCGCGTAAGCCGCGCGTAAGCTCCGCGTAAGCTCCGCGTAAGCTCCTGTGTCCTTTTCCACCAGTAGCCCACATGCCTCCTTCTCCGAAACCGTTGCGTCAGCGGCAGCGTGTGGTTGAAGACCTCTATATACAATGTGGTTTGCGCTCATCGCCCTTCCACTTCCACTTCTCCATTTCCTGCTGCTGCTGCTGCTGCAGGTCTGCTGCTGCAGGTCTGCTGCTGCAGCTGCTGGTGCTGCTGGTGCTGCTTGGTTGCTTCTGCCTTCGAGCCTTCTTCTTCGTCCTCATCCTCAAGTGCCTCTTCAGCATCCATATCCGAAGATTAGATGTAGTAACGTAGTAAATGTCCATTGTACAAAGTATGCAGCGCGTAAGCTTGCGTTGTGGTGTCAGCTGCATTTTGTGCAAAACAGGCGTCGCGTAAGGTCTGCGTAAGCCCTTCTTGCTCCAAGTGTACCGCGTAAGCAAACATGTGAGTCGCGTAAGGCAGCGTAAGCACAAGCGTAAGCCAATGATACGGCATGGGATTTCATCAAGGTATTCAGAAACGCTCATTTGGACCTTCCGGTCCAGTGCCATGTCGCTTTGAACATTTAGTAGTAAGGCCAGGGTCGCCCCGTTCGTAGCGTCCAGAGGCCAGTGCCCCTGTCGAACTCACTTCAGCACCCGCGCGCGTTCGGCGCCAGCAGGTCCAAGAGCAACTCGCCGCGGCCGCCAAAGAGGCCGGCTGGAGCGAGTGGGGAGGCACTCCGGGCTGGTGTTAGGGGGAGCAGGCGCAGATGACTGGGGTGTAGACATGACGGATGGTGCCAATTTCAGGTTTTTGGCACCTAAAGGCCATATACCAGCACCTTCCAGCACGTCACCACCTGCGACTTAAGTGTACTTTTAAGTCTACAAAAGCCTCCAGGTCGGAGACCTGTTGGAAGGTGCTGGTATATGCCATACCTCTCTCAAATATGAGGTGTGTGTGACAAGCCTAGGGCTCTTAACCAGAGAATCCACTTAGATGTACAACGTGTTCTCATTTTCTATAGAGAGTATACATGTAGGGTTTGGAGTATGATGCCACTACATGGTGTCCGGTCCATGGTCAGTGGCCCAGTGGCCTTCATAGCGCCACATTTGTGGTGACTTCTACAAGGCCCTTGGTATGGATATGTATGGATACTTGTATACTATCTTGTACTGGAAAACGGCTGAACAGTCGGTAGTTGAAATATGATCAAATACCTAGAGTCTAGAGAATCTTGCAGTGCGTATTTCCGACGACATAGCAAAACATTGTTTGTTTAATTGCGGCAACTGAAGAAACACACCGCTTTGCCAGAAACACGCTGAATTCCCAGAAGCATGCCGCGACTTGCTTTTCAAGCAAGCTTCACAAAAACACGCCCCACGCTGACATGGGCAAACACAAACACGCCGCAAACATGCAGGGCGAGCACATGCACACACACATTCCAAACATTCTTGCCAACTGGTTGAGTTGTTTCTTGCCGCAATCCTAGAAACACGCTCCAGCCCCCCCCCGCGAAAGTTGCAGCATTTCTGCAAAACCGAAGTTGTGAGTGGAGTTTTGAGGTATGACATACTCACAAGGGCGGACCTCTAGGTGAAGGCAGACGCTGGCAGCGGCCATGCCCATCCAGGTGGATGGCGTACACTCCCAAAACACATCATGGAAATGGATGGCGGCACCCACCGATTTGCTATGAAAATGGTAATTTACCCTTCAGGGCCATCCACGGCCATCCATGTTGATTGAATTTGGAGAGTGGACGAGAGGATGCCCGGTAAACTGGCCTCAAGAGGTTTGCGCCCCTTTGTTGTACGGTGATCTCCAGTCAAATGAGGTCAATTCCTGTAGGGATCAGCTATCAGAACTTAGCTATACCCCATGATTCCCACACACTCCACGTATGGAAAAGTACGCTTAATATGCAACGTATGCCATCAACCCCATGCCATCAACCCACTCCACCTGATCTGACAGACGCCCGAGTCCGGATCCATGCGATGTGGCGCAACTATACCGCCTACATTTGAGGATTTTTGGTGGTGAGTGTACGTCACATTGATGTTTATAGACCACAAATAGATAGAAGTTCGTAGATCACCACTATTAATAGACATGTACGTATTAAGAAACCCTGCCATGCAGACCCTTTGCGGACCGCTACACCCAGACCCTTTGGGATGGAAGATCGGAGTTTCGCCCTGCAGCTTTCTTCTCGTTACCTCCGACCCGAGAGTGACGCAAGTTGGATGCAGGTCGTGGACGCCGCGAGTGGGAAAAGGCCCGGCGCCGTGGGACGCTTGGGTGGCGGAACCTTCGCCCGCGGCACGACAGTTCCTGCGACGCCGACCGCCGAAGCGGTCGTGGCCCGTGCGGTCGCAGCCGTGGGGGGGCTTGGCGGGCGAGGTGCTGGAGAGGCGGTGAACGTATTTCAATGCGAAGATCGAAGGGACGCCAGGTTGGTGAAACATGTTAAGAGATTGTTGTTCTTGGGCTGTTGATGTTCTTGGTGAGCACATGAGACAACTACAGGAAGGTGCACATTTGTTGGGCAATGTTTTGCATGGTTTTGGTGTGCAGTTATGTGCAGTTGAAGGTAGAAGGGATTTACAGAATCTTGTGCCTTGTCCACCCAAAAAGTCACAAAACCACAACGTCCACAAAAAATCAAGGTTGCAGAGCCGGTCTCTTTCATTGATTCATATATGTCGGGCCGTTTTGTTTTGCAGTTCTTGCCTGTCACGATTCAATTCTACCTCACTCTGCCAACAGTCTTGTTCCCCTTCGCATCCTTTCGCCCACCTGGTCACACCCTGCGCACCTCAGGATTTGACGCCACCGCCGATGCCGAGGGACGCACCTCGAAGTCCCCCCAGTCACCGAAGAAGTGGTCACCGGACTGAGCAGCTGCACGGTGCGGCACGGATGTTTCGCGCCAGGATGGGCTGGCGACACGGTGGGGGGTGTAGGATCTAGTTTGGGTGGGTCCCAGTAAACCTGAGTAAGTCGTAAGTTAAGGATCAGATTGATTGGAGAAAGGCCTGCAACTGAACCATCCTCCAGGCCCAGGGATACCCAAGATCTGGTGTCCACGTACCGGGGGCCCTGATGAATCGTCAGGGGCTCCGAGGTTTAGAGGGCTCGCGAAGGGTTTGAGGACTCGGCAGGGGCCCCACAAACCATCAAACACCTGCTTTCCCTAGAAAAAACACGGCTTTTGTAGATGAACACCTTTATGTTTCATGGTTTTGAGGGCCACTGGTCACTGGTCTCAGATGTTCCAGAGACTTTTTAGCATCAAACTTGCGGTCCAAGTAAATGACGAAGAGGATACCGAGTTCCAGAAGAGTTTTGAGCTGAACGATTTGAACCGGCATGGAGCCAGGATGCTTACAGATCGTCTGCAAACGTGGCATGAAACCAAGCTGCCCGAAATGTTCTCCTTTCTGCTTCTTCACCCAATGTGTGTTCAAAAACGCATACCCAATGTTGCCCATCGCATGCCATCACGGCCATCATGAGTTTAAATTTGCTCCGATACTATATACCCAGCCTTTCCCAGCCCACCGACCACCACCAACTTCTCCGTAGCGTCCGTGAACAATTTATATATGAAGCAGAGTGAGACGACAGTGACCGTGACCCGCCCAACGCTGCCCGGGCGCAGCGCCGCCCACAAGGTCAAGCTCCTCCCGACGTTCCAGCCAAGTGTCGGGCGTCAGCGGTGTGCCCCGGTACGGATCAGAACGAGCAGGGAACCAATGGGGGGTGGAAGAGAACTGAGAGGGTCGAAGATGGAGCGTTTGGTGTAAGAACAACTAAGAAGATACTTCAGCCATGAGTCACATGTCGGGGTGGTGTTTAGTCCCATCCAGTGAGTGGATAACGGGCACCCCTAACCTCCATTAAGCACCCCTTTGTGACTGCTGGAGTAAACACTTAGCTGGCCAGATGCCGCTAGGTAGAACCCATCTAAAAGCCCTTGGGCCAGGTTGGCTCGCCCTTTTTCGAATACACAATCGCCTTTCAAGAACAGTCAAAGAGTCCGGCTGACCGAGTGTTGTAGTCCATATACGACGCAAACCTGGGGACTTCCCCCCCTTTTTTTGAAAGAAATGGTCCTGATAGCTCAAGGACTTTAGACGATTTGGACCAGGCCAACCATTCTTTGAGGGTTTTGGGACAGCTGGGTTACATGACTCTTGCCCAGACACGACGACCTGTTTGGGACTGCCAGGACGGACTGCCGCCCCAGACAGACCCGCGGCACCCCGGCCTGATCGCCAGTCCTATGGCGCAATGAATCCGATCGAAATCGCAGACACGACGACCATGGGACTGCCATACATATTGGGGTGGTGCTAGGGGGGGGTCAATGTACCAAGACCATCCAAAACCGAAACATTCTATAGGGTTTGGTTGCACCTGGTAGGCATATATTCATATATTTATTCCATACATGGAGTGTATGGTTTCAGAATTTCAGGTGAGTCGTCCCGCGAGCGACTTGGGACATGGTGCCTTGCGCTGTCGGATGAGCATCTACACCAAGAGCACGTTACAGAGACTGGCCGGGAGGTCGTTGTTTTTGTCGTTTTTCGATTCCCTAAAGGTGTTTGAGGATGTTTGAGGTGGGTTGCCGGCAGCAAACGGTTGGGATGCCGATGTTTGTGTTGGGTGGGGAATCTGACAGTCGAATTGAAGCGTTGCAGGCCGCAGGTAGATGTGTTTGGGAGAATCTGCGTTGCAGGTGGGTGCTTTCGTTGCGAACGGGACCATGTGCGTCTCATAGCGCGGTAATCTTGGTAGATGGGGTGGGGCAAATGGTCATGTCTTTGAGCCTTTTGGCCCTTTGAACACATGTAACGGTGGAACACCATGAAATCAAAGGCGGTTGGAATCGTGCAAGGATTGGTCACAGAGACCGGAACCGGATGCTTCGGTCACCCAGTCCGAATGAGCAAGAACACGGGTCGTGCAGGACCCAGCAAACGGCTGTTTCTGGGTGTTTTTGATTAGAGCGGCTGATCGCCCCGCTTACAGGCGCTGTATGCTCAGGATGGCTACATGGTTTTATCTGGACTGGTCTGGGACATCCCGGCTTATATAAAACCATGTAGCTCCAGTCCAGTCCATCAGGTCTGATCACTACATGGGAGTGGGCGGTCCTTCCCGGTCCTTCTCCCGTTCCAAAAGCTCACTCCCTCACCGCCGGCGGCCGCTCAGGAGTGGCCGGTCCGATCGCTCGAAGCAGACGGCACGCAGCCACGCGACCCACCGGTCGGTTCGGTCAGGCCGGGTGGGACCGGTGACGGTTCGGGGGGCATTGGGATGCATTGGGTGGGATTGGTTGGGTGCAGGCTGGATTGGTGGGGTGGTTGGTGGTGGGGAGGTGGGAATCTGGGAAGATCGGGAAGATGTGGGCCGTTTTCTTCCACGTTTCAGGGGTCAGCTCGAGCGACAACGTCAGATCGGAAGAAGGGGACGAGCACGAGCACTTGAGCGAACGTCCGGACGTCCGGGGTGGCGGGGTCGTGTGTGTACGGGTACTGTACTCCGTGGGCGGCGAGAGGATCCCTGAAAGCCCCTCCACTAACCAAGAGAGGTTAAGTGACTTATATATTGACCTTAGAGGACCCGTAACCTGGGCTGCCCATAGGATAGTCTAAAGGGTCCTTTAACCTTTGTTGGCTAGGATTGGGGTCGTGTGAGTAAGTAGCGTTTGTTAAATTGAAGATTATAGACTGTAATTCACGTAACGTTTGCGAAGGCATTTGTGTGATCCAATATGTGTGGGCTTCAGGCTCGCGAAGCCTCTGGCGCAGGCGATTTCACAGGCGGAGCCAAGTCGCGAAGGTCAACTTAGAGCGTATGATTACCCATGCTCCATGTATGGAATATATGCCTACATTGACCCCCCAAACCACCCCAATCTATAGGCATATATGGCATGCGGCATACATGGAGTGTATGGCGTATGAAAGGTTGTAAAATTTGCGAAGCCTCTGGTGTTGCGTGTTGCGCCTCGCATTTGCGCCTCGCGAAGCCCCTCGGCGAAACCCCCCCAGCGTCGGCAACTCAGCAGTGTGGTTGGGGCACTTGTTCGCAAAACACGGCTCACGTGGAACACAAATCGCCAGTTTGATTTGCGGCCTTTATTCAGGCAAACTGTTTGTCCGTCAAAGCATGGCGAAGCACTATGATTGCAGGCCACCATGGACGGGTTTCGACTTAAGCCCGACCCCGCCTACAAACACCGACCTCGAAAACATACGCCTGTGGAGGGCTGCGGAACCAACGGTCCACGGGTCCCGGTCTTCGGAACCCGTCGCCCCGCACGACGTGCGGCCGCAGACGCGACGGCGCTGTCGCGCATGACGCGCCTGTCGGACGCCGGCGAGCTCTTCCAGTTTCACCACGCAGTCCCCCGGAGTCGGGGCGCGGTGCGTGGGTGGTTGGGCCGCCCCGAGCGCGGCTGGGCGGTCGGCGTACTCGCGGCTTTGGCGCGGACGAACGGCGCGAACTCGGAGACGGTCGGTCGATGTACCTGGGCGTGCCATGGAGACATCCAAGAAAAACGGTCGATCCGACGAGGTTTCCTCTAGAGGCCCAGCCGGCTTCCAACAACCATTGCCGTGATGTTTTCCTCTTATTTACCGAACAACCCATTGTTTTAGTAAGGGGTTTGCGCTACAACATCAGGTCAACCTTTCTGGGCCCTGGAGGTCTCGATTCTCAATTGATGACCTGTTGGAGGATGCTGGTAGGTTTAACTTCAAGAATCCGCTCAAATACCCTTTTGGAGGGATGATTCACACGGTGAGGGTCATCCAACATCATGCAAAGATTCGAGTGTTGCATACTGTTAATATACCATAGGCTTCCAACAACCATTGATGTACTGCCATTGTTTTACTAGGGAATTTACACTACAACACCAGAACACCAGGCCAACCTTTGTTTTCAAGGTCTTGGAAGGCTAGGGTTTATATACTTCTTTGTGACGGGGTGTGTCTGAGTCTCACGGGCTAGACCGTTGAAGGGTGCATCCAGCTACCACCTCTTGTTCCAAAGGCTAGAACCATAGACCTAGAAACCCTGACTGGTTCCCTACCAGCACCACCCAAAGGGTGGTTATTAGATGAACAATGCATGGTCAGGGGGGTCTAAACCATTCTAAAGCCACCCTTTGGGTGGTGCTGGTATATTACATTATAGTGGTAACTGGGATGCACCACTGGGTTTATGTTGGAGAGTTTGTTGTAGGGAACACTTCTGCCTGAAGCCCATTGAGCCACCCCCCCCAAAAAAGAGCGTGCTCGGTGCAAGGCAGGTACCCAGTGAAGCAAATCATGCTCCACAGTTCTTGTGATGCAACTGGGCCTCCTTGATGGACCTCCTTGCCTCCCCAAATGGAGCAAGAGCATCATCGCGTCTCAGAAGTAGGCCCGCAGTGAAAAAGGGTGGTGGGTTAGTGGGTCCAACTATATACCTTCGATCTCCGACATAGCTTCAATTTCCCTAACCCAGACACGACTAATGGGACGTGGGACTGCCGATCAGGCCAGGGGTGGTTGTGGGGGTCAATGTATGCATCTATGACATACATGGAGTGTTTGGGTAAAGCTTGACTTCTGGAGATCGCACGATCTGAAGAAACCTCCGGCCCGATCGGGGGACCAGACAGGACCAGACTGAGGTACAAAATAGCCTGCATCCGCGTGTGGCGGCGGCGGGGGTGATCATGGGCTTTGGGAATGAAGACTATGAGATCCAGAGTGGCCTGGCCGAACGGACGAAACAGGATGACTTTGGCGGACGAAATGTGTTTCACTCGACTTGGGACAGAGGACGAACTGAAAGAGAACGATGATTTTGGGTGGCCAAAAAAAGGCAGGTGGCTGTAGCACATTAGAGTATGGGAGAGGCGGATGTTGCAAAACGATGATTTTGGAAGTGGAGGCCTCACAAGTTCCGCCGTGGTTCAAGTTCATGGCACAGCTCACGTTGTTTGTACCCTGGAAGCTCCAAGACTATTTCAAACATTGTTTGTCTATAGTAGGTGACTTGAACAGGAGTTTCCATTGCTTCGCTGATGCCAACAGTTTGTTTGTTTGGATTTATAGGCCCGCCTGACTAGGTCTTGCCCCTTCGAAAACCACCCGAAATGGGTGGTGCTGGAGGATGTTCTTCGTGGGCTTTGGCGATGTACATGATGTGCCACAACCATGCGACAGTCGATTCGATCTATGGATGCGAAACATGAGAATCCGCACAAAAGTCCTCTTGACGTACCACTGAAACCGCCGCAAGGTAGTTCGGCAATACATGGAGTGTTTGGGTATTCCATGGAGTGAGCCGTCAAACATCTCGGGTCCGTCCAAGGCAATGGCCACTCGGCGGCACGTTGGCCTCACTGGGTTATAAAAGCCCCCCTGGGGGGTTGAAATAGGATCACGAGTTGAACAATTAAGCTGTTGTGGTCCCACAAAACACCTATAATATGTAAAAAAACAAAGGTTCTTCGGGAAAACTCAACCCGTGCAATTCGCCCCGGATCCGGGCTCCAAAAACTTCGGTTTCCAAAACCCCCGTGGGCGAACGCGAACACGGGTCGCGGTTGGCATCGAAACACAATCCGGGAGGGCGATGAGTTGGCGAGGTTGTGGGATGAGGGTACGCATGGGATAGTGGTGGGCAGGAGCGGAGATAGGAGATTGGAAGGGCAAAAACATGCAAAAGGATCATCGGATCGAGCGGTGTGAAGATGCGTTCGTCGTCAGGGAAGAACTCGTTGGACGCTGGACGTGTATGATCCTGGTAATTACCCATTCCCCATGGGTCAGGAATGGGCCTCATTTGACTCGAGCTTTTATATATGTCTATATATATATATATATGTATAGAACACATACAGTATATTCAATAATTATCACGAAAGCCAGCCGATAGGCAAGGCTTGAGTTTTTAGGGTGAACGAAGTGAATAAAGGGTGTGTGGGGGGGGTGGTCGTGCAGAGGCCACTTTTGGGAGGTCGAACCTTGAGCCTGGTGGGGGAGAGCGTTCAAAAGTAGGGTCAGGAAAGCATCGAAAAAGTGGTTTGGTGATGCAAGTGATGTAAATGACACCGGGTAGCTATCATGAAGGCGTTTGGAGATAACTTTTCTAGTCCTGAGTAGGGCATAGGGACTGTGTAGCTCTGATCATACCAAGAAGGACCAAGCAACAAAGAGTGAACGCTCTGGGAGTGAACGATGTCAGTATGTCCAGTTGGGCAAGTGTGAACTCAAGGCGGGACACGCGGAAGCGTCCAACACGATGCCCAAAACATTTACCACAGCAACAGAAAGGATGTCCTTCGGGCATTCATTATGTATCTCTTTCGGGCATCATTCTCCTGGTGTTCACTGACGTTTATTTTTTGCACGGATTCTCAAGTAAAAACACCAACCAGGGACGCTCCAGAAGGCGGCGCACCAGGCAAATCAAGAAAGCTAATAACATTCAACACTTCATGCTGTGCTCCGATCTTCATCTACGTCGCAGTGATACCAGCTCGACGAAAACTACAACCATTCAAGAATGAGTGCTCTCCTTTTTTTTCTCGGCTTCGCATTGATGCACGATGCCCGAAACACAATTCAAAACAACAAGAAACAACCCTTCGGGCATCCTTCTCCTGGTCTTCATTGATGTTTATTTTTACACGGGTTCTCAAATAGACCACCAAACAGGGATGCTCCAGAGAGCACCGCACCAGGAGAATCGAGAAAACCTAAAACATTCAACACTTCGTGCTGTGCTCCGATCTTGATCTACTCCGCGTTGATACAAGCTCCACGAAAGCTACAGGCATTCAACAATAAGTGCTCTGCTACAATTTCCTCCCAGTCTTGCACTACCATATTGGTCTCTCGCTGGTTTTCGTCCTCTCCTTTACCAGGTATAAGGTATAAATTTGAAGGACCAGGCTTTAGTGACTTTCTGGGGTCATGCAATGCACTCCGGTCATGTTTGCGTTCAGTAGCAAGGACCTTTTTTGATCGACAGTTCAACAACAGCATGTTTTGCAATTCGCATTTCATGTGAGCACTGCATGAAACAGCTTTGGTTAGAATTTAAGTCGTTCCATAGAATACTTACATGCATGGCTTCGCGTGGGCAGCGCGTAAGTTTCTTGTCCATCCTTGAGGTAACCCACATGTTTTGCTTACTACAGTGGGTCGAGAATATGTTCAACTCTTGCTGTCCTTCCGGTTGCCCTATGCCCAATCACATCCAATGGTCCAAACATGTCCAAACACTTGAGATTTATCGGCCAATGATATACTTGGATCCTCCAACTATGACAAATCCATAAAATTCAGCCAAAAGGCAGACATTTTGAATAGTTGGAAGATCCAGGTATACAAATATGATAAATATGGACACTTGAACCTTCTTCAACTCACCCCCAGTCCCCGCTTCACAGGTGCGTGTCGGGACGGTCGGGACGGTCGCGACTCGGCGCCCGCCGAGGTTCCGAGGAGACGATCCACAAGCCCAACCGCGCGTCGATCCAAACGGAGGTCACCACGAAGCAGCCGGTGACTGGGTTCGGGTCAACGCAGAATGGAGGGGCGAGGTGCAGGAGGGGGGGGGGAAGTGGGGTTTGGGAGCATATTTTGCAGTGGTTTCGAAGGTTCGATATTGCACCCCAAGATGACCTTGATAGATGGGGGTCTACCAATAGATATAAGTAATGATATACCAAATTTGGCGTAGCTTGTGCCAACTACTCTCAATGCACTGTGGTTAGGTGTCCAAAGGACCTTCCAAAAACCCATCCCAAACGGCTTTTGAGCGAAGGCAGTTGGGCCGATCGGGAAATCGACGAAAAAGGTGCGCCGATCGGTGGTGTTCCCGTTCACCAGGCCTTCGGGTTGCAGCTGGAGGCTTTCATCATGGCACCCCTCAGTCTTTGTTTGGCCCTCCATGTCGCGAGCGGAAGCTTTCCCCCTGGTGGAATGTTGGTACACGGCATCTGCTGCATGGCATAGCGCGAGAACTTCTCGGTGCTCAGTCACTGAGGATGAGGGAAAAACGTTGTGTGTGTTTTTTTTGTGGGTTTTTGGACCCACAGCCGTTCTTGAATCACGCAAGGTGAAGGAGAAGAACGTCCCCAAGGACTTGACGCTTGGCAGAGTGAATGGACTTTCACATGTGCGGAACTGAGACCATGACCGACTTAGACACGTCGAAATGGGACTGGGACTGCAAGAGAGGCCACCCCGAACCCGGGTCTATCTCCAGTGATCCCTAGCGTCTCGGCAAACAAGCAAGGTGACCCCTTCCCACCTGGCGACGACTCGGCCCCACGTGCGAAAACTCCATCCGGGGCCGGTTCGCACCGGACGTAGTGGTCGAAGTTGATCTCTTTCAAGAGCACAGCTCCATCCACCCATTCTGCAGACAGGATCTCAACTAGAGGCCAGCAACGTCTTCGGGATGAGGTCAAGAACCACATGGTCCATGACCGTCATGGTGTTCTTTCGTGGGGTCATGACCAAGAAGAGCTTCCAAAGGTCATGGCTCAACAGAATGTCTATGGATCATCCACCCCGACGCGACCCTGGAGCCTCAGTAGGGGCCGTACCCGAATCCTTTCGAGGGGTCGGGACCCGAACCAATCCCTAAGCTTTTGAGGGACCTGTCGGGCTGTTGGGAGCGTTTGGGCGGGATGTGTTGTCCTGTAGACTTTGGTCAAATGAATCAGAAACTCCCGGTTCTTCCAAGTCCGAGATCGTTGCTTCGGTGAGGCCGCCCCCGGTGTCCCTAAATATTTCGGTCACGAACTGAAGAAGCTGCTTCATGCGTTTTTTCAACACCCATCTTTTGGTCCAACGCCAGCGAGATCGTCACCCTCCATACCCGTCACGCTCTCGACTCCGGGCCGCGACCCGCCCGTCTCCGTGTCCGGCGGGAGGGAGACCCCCGAGGTATCTGCCGATGGCGTTGATCGTCTTCACGAACTTCGTGGTGAATTCGCCCCTTGGCTTCGCCACGCAAGCGGTGTCGGCCGGTCCACCTCGGGTGGTCGGCCGGTCAGACAGAGCGATTCGGAGGTCTCAAATGCCACCGAGGGCCCCAGCAAGTAGTTGAGAGTATACCTAGCGCTTCTAAGGGGTGCCCAATGGAGACCTGTTAGTAGTATGTTTTAAATTTTAAACTGTTTGAGACATCTATAGGGTGCATGTTGCCCATTTTTGACAGGTAACTATTGCATAATGAAACGAATGTTTGGTCTTTCCTCCACGGACTGGACTTGCAAACCAGGAGTTCACCCCCCCCGATTGGCACACTCCAGGTCTGGAATGTAGACCGTTAAAAGTTAAACATATATGCCCCTAAACACCACGATGAAAGAAGGTATGCCACACAGACACACACCCACGCACGCATGCACGGAGCGTTTGGGTTCAATACCCATGCACGACCCATGGGACTGGAATATATGCCGCCCCATTGATGCCCCTGGCACCACCCCTGGCCTGATCGGCAGTCCTATGGCAGTCCCATGGGTCGCGTCTGGGATATGGTTAACGCTGGTTTTGCGCTTCGGAAAAGGCTCATGGCGATCCCCCCACCGTGCAGGTCCTATTCCGTGGAATGGTGCATCTTCGCCGTGTTCTTCAAGGACCACACATGGTTCTTCAGTGGCAGCGGTGCAAAGCAATGTAAGAAAGAACATAGTGTTGCTGTTCTTCCATTTTGTAGCTAAAAAACATATATATTACTATTACACATCTATTTATTAATATCTATAAGTTTGATCATACAAACAGTCTTTATGTTTGTGAATATCTGTTATGTTTATATATCCTTTTGCCACACGTTGGGATCCAACCCGGCCATCTCCACATAAGGAACTGCGACTTACGTCAAACCTTCAGAAATGGCTTTGGTCCATGCCACCCTCTCCCTGGCCAAGTGTTGGCATATATGACTGTCAGTGATTTCTTTGTGGTTGACAAACCCATACACTCCACGTGACTGCCATGTATGACGATCAGGCCAGGGGTGATGCCAGGGGGGCCAATGGGGCGGCATATATTCCAGTCCGATGGGTCGTGCATGGGAAATGGTCTCAATGGGACACCAACTTCACAGACTCTGCGGGAACGCCTGAGGCCGCACGGGAACGGCTGCATCATTTGGAGTGCAGAAACACCGACACGGCATGTTCTGCTTCTCGGGATCTCCTGCCCAAGCACTACAGTCAAACGATTCCCAGTGAAACGATTCCCTTACGGAAGCTTCGGTCGCTCCTAGTAGCTTCTTGCTCCTACCACAGAGTTTCTGCACCCATTTGGATTTGAGATCTGGCGTCCAAGTCCCCAAAGGAACTCGACGCGCGATCAGGTGCCCATTGATCCTTGGAAGTCCAGTTATGACTCATTTTAAACCCCCACCCAGTGGTGGATCATGACTGCCAGGTTCTATTTCTGCAAGAAATTCATTGGAAGTTCAGTTCATTCATCCAACTCCCCATCATGGAGATGTTGGACCTTCAACTTCGATCGGCCCAAGGGGCTCGAGATGGGATTCGTGTCCAAACGACTGCTGCGTGTGTTTTTTCCATGTTGTTGCTCGGGGTCCAGGAGGTCCAGATAGGCACAAGTAAGGCCTTTGGAGACCCTCTGAGAGTTTTACATGTTTGAAACAGTTTTCAAGTGTAGGCTGGGTCCAATCGTACCTTCAGAGAAGCTCTTTGGACCCCTTTTTGAGGGAGAAGCCTGGGTCTGTCAAACAAAAGAGGAGACCCTCCGAGTACCCCCAGACCTCCCCAGACCCTTTGGGTGGATTGGCATCTTTGGATAGCTGGGTCTCCATCTCCTCCAGCTCCAGCTCGCATGCGCCACGCCGCACGCAGGAGCAGCACGGCTGGGAATCAGCTACCTGGGCGGGGATTTGTCAGACCTCGGGCGCCCCTCGGCCGCCGTCAGGCGATGGGTTCACTGCGGCAGGAGTTGCTTCGGGGTCCAAGTGGCAGGCGACGTGAGGAGGTGAGTGGCCTGTCATTAGCACTTTTGGAGGCTGGCTCCTGCAGGCTCCTGCAGGCTCGTGCACTGAGATGAAAAAGTTGTTCCGAACCCATTCTTTGACGGTTCGAGAGGTCTCAGGCACCTGGTGATGTGGTGCGCCCCAGCCAGTGGAGCCTGAGAAGAGTGGAAGGCCCGAGATCTCGTCGTAGAATGGGCCTCATTTCTCGTTGAATGATGGTCTATGAAATGGGGATCCGATGTTCTATTACCGGATGCCTTGCTTGGCATTTGGTCATTTGGTCATGGTGGAAAAACAGGGATCTGAAGATCATTCTCAGTGGGATATAGGGGGATCATGGTTCAACGTTCAAATTTTTGTTCAGCCTGTCGCGTCAGCGCAAGCGCACTTTGTCCGGAACGTTTCTGTCAGTCGGTGTGATCGGACGAACAGATCACATGGTTACGTATATACTGTCGTATTATATACCTGCTTTTGCTTAATACGGTAAATTTGCTAGGTTCCCTATGGGTCAACTCCCCCAAATTGGGGGGAATAGCGTGATGTTTTTCCACATGTTCCAGCAAATCCAAGTATCGATGGGACCCCCTGCTGGTCTTCGGAAAGTCCATCTTCCTTTCGGGCCCTTTCATGTTCACCACCGTGGGTCCATCGCACCTCCCAGAGCGCTCCACGGCTTCAACCGCCGAGGCCCCCCATGCTTGACGCCCGGACCAGGGGTTTCGATAGCTCCGAAAAGAGGTGATTCGGGGTGTCCACGAACCATCCCGACCGTGGGTCTTGGTATGCCCCAGAATTGGACTGAGTTTATGTGGACTTCCCACCTGAGTCCAAATGGTGAAAGCAACATCTTGCTGCAGTGGGAAAACATGACCCACCGCTTCGCAACGATCTCGGTCAAGTCTCGTCGTCTCGTCACCGTTCGGATTATAGAGCTCCACCGTTCGGAGCTTCCGGTGTCGGATCCGAAAACCCTCACCACCCTCACCGGTCGCCTCGAGGACCTGCTCGCTGCGGTCATCATGAACTTCGTCACCACCGGGCGAAAGGACTTGGACGAGCCGCGCGGCCGGAAACGCGGGGCACGGGAAACGACCCCCGGGAAGTCGTGTGGGCCATTCCCACTCCAAGACGGAGCCCGTGGCAAGGGGTCATATTAGGGGTACTGGTACCATATAATGTATTTTTTTACCTACAGCATATGGTATTATAGGATTCTGATATAGGGCTTATATAGGGCCTAAGTAGGTATATGAATCCAAAATAATCCAAACATCAAAGCTATAGGGCAGCGTTTGGGTATCTCGCCAGTTCGGCTTCGTTTCGGAGAATGGCGGTGCACGGACCCAGGGCGGCCGCTGGGTTCGGGCGGTTTCGATGTGGATGAGGGACTGTAATGCTACATGACAGGGGCACCCCCACCCTCGGATAGCACTGCTTTGGTTCTGGGCACCCCTACCTCCATCAAACACTGCTTTGGAACTGCTGGCAAGATCGTGGATGGGTCATAGGCTGAGCATGAAAAACACCAGTGGTTGGGAAGCAGCGAGTCATCCATTGTTGCCCACTGGACGCTTCAAATGCATGAATGTTTTCCCTTTGGAAGTTTAATTTTGGGATGACACTAATTATAGTCCCAATATTTGTTTACAAGGCTTGAGACCACCAACACGTCTCGCTGGGCACTGAGATATTCTGGGTGCTGCTGGTACGTGCAAGCCATCATCGCGCAACCCTACAATGTCGCCGTGCAACAAGCATGTGGCAGGGCGGACGGTTGGAAAGGATCACCTGGCGCCTTTCCAAGGGACTAGGAGCGATCGAACGCTGCTAGGGGCTCCTGGCCTTACTACTAGGAACAAGAAGCTACTAGGGGCTCCTGGCATCGCTACTAGGAGCGCTAGGGATTTAGGTCAGGGATCTTCAACGCCAGCATTCTCAGAGTGGGTGGGCTGTGGATCTTGCTTTTGCGGAGCTCAGGAACCAGGGGTATCCATATTCCCATTATATAAACAGGGAGCCCCAGAGCTACAAGGAATTCCCCAGCGGGTAAGGGATCTAAAAAAAAAACACACATATATATATATATATATAGAATCAACAACATATTCAACGGGGATCAAAAATATAAAGGGAATCAACATAGTATTCTAGCCCTAGTAGTAGTAGTAGTAGTAGTAGTAGT